AAAGGAAGACACCTGTTAATGTAATAAATTACACCTAAAGATTTCTACCACTGTCTTTGTTTCCTAGAACTTACCCTTTGTAGTCCTGGTCGTTTATTCTTTTAATGCCAAGTTGGACTTTATTTGCTTATTTTTTATGACTTTTTTCCATCTATCTACACGAGCGATGGTAGTCTATAGCTATTTTTTGTGTGTACTATCCTTTCTGTTTTGATATCAAGAATATGCTAACCTCATAAAGTTACTTTTTCCATGCTTTGGGACAGTGTGCATAGAATAGGAATCATATGTTCCTTGAAAGTTTGCTAGAATCTGCCAGTAAAGTCATCTTGGCTGGGTGTTTTTATTAGAGGCAGCTCTTTTAACGATCTCTACGTAGTGATTGCTTTATCCAGATTTTCACTCTTCTCTGGAGAACTTCAACAGCTTTTCTCCTTAGAAAATCATTTATTTTATATGGATGTTCAAAACAAACTGGTAATAGTTGTACATGGTATGGTCTTATTTATCATTGAATCTCTTCTGGACCTGAAATTGTATCTCCTTCCTTGTTCATGCTTTATTTTCTGCTTGATCCAACCTATCACAAGTTTGTCTAGTTGAATAATCTCTTCAAAGAAAAAGCTATTGGTTTTATGGATTATGCCTTTTGCTTTTATTGATTACATCTTTTGCTGTTGTCTCAGTATCTATCAACTTCAACTTTGGCTTTAATTCCTTACATCTGCTTTCCTTTGGGTTTGCTGTTTTTCTAGCTTCTTGAATTGAATACAAGCTCAGCTGTATTTATTTTCAGTCTCTCTAGCTGCAGTGAACATCCATTGCTTTGCCTGCCTCCAGACATATTCTCTTCTAGGAGGAAAGAGGAGTACTGTTATTCCACTCTGAGCCCTTCAGGTAGGCCTGACCTCAAACCTCCAGCGCTAGAGGTGGCCTTGTGAACCCGGNGAAATCGTCAGTGGTAAAGTTTTCAAAATGCCAAGCAGTACTGACAGCTTTGAGATACTAGATTTTGAATATCTAGGTAAAGCTTGAAAAAACCCCATAAACATAATATGGCAATAACTATCCACGGTTGATATTCTCACTGATTTTATAATTTATTTAGTTGCCCGAATAATACTAACCCCTTTTATTTCATTGACTATTTTGGCACAGTTTTAAAACCTTTGTTTTTTACTTTGGATATCTGACATAATTCATATCAAGTTTAATTTCTATCAGATCCGTCGTATAATTATGACCTCCACAAATGAGTTGACATATCTACTGATTTGTCTCTTCTCATTGGTAGCAAATCAAAATCGTAAGTCTTCTAAAAGAATGTCAAGTTCTTCATCAAATTAATATGTGAAATCTTCAAGACGGATTTAGTTTGTGCCACTGGATCACAACCTTTTCTGGATTTGTAACAGTCTCTTTCCACTGGTTTGCTGCTTCCATGTTATTGCTGTCTTCACTTATCCAAATCTGTAAAGGAACAGTACAATCATTTCACTTAACACAATGATGGCACCTGAGTCCAAACAGTTAATTATTCTTATTATAAATGAGAGATAACTGGAAATTTGGTTTATATATTTTCAATTAAACATCTTTTCATTTTTCCAAATGCTTGTTTGATTTCTGTATTTGAAACTTAAATGTGAAAACATTTAACCTATTTACTCACTCTGAAGACTATTTTATATGATCCAATTTAAAAATTCAGTGTGACATATTACAAAAGTATTTCCCCAAAACAGTTGTTAGTATCCTATTAATATTCAATACATCTAGAAGCTCAAGTTAAAATTGGTCCCAATTACTCAAAAACATTTTTGTAAAGATTAACTCAGCCTAAACATGCCTTATATTGTTAAGGAATATGCATTTTTAAGCATCTTGCACATTAAATAAAGCTATAATTTTAATTGAAATCTAATAGTCATTCTTGATCCACAGTAAATAGTTTCATAGTACCTATCATTTATGTAACTTTAGATAATAGAGGTGAATGAACTGGGGAAAACTGTAAAGCATTATACAAATATAAGGTATCACAATGGTTATATAGCATGGAGGGAAGGTGCACAAGGATAAAAAACCCAACTTCTCACCTCGGCTCTAGCACTAGCAACTGCTGTTCCTTTGGAATTAACTTCTCTGAGACTTAGCTTCTAAT